GTCTCTGCGGGTATAAACAGGCACCTTGTCACTTCCGTAGAACTCCTTGTGACGTGTTCATTATGGGGTCCAAGCAGTGAGTGGTGTAACAGATAACTGAGTGAAGCAGGAGTTAGTTGGAAAATCAAGAAACAATGAAGCCCTACAGGCTCAGAAACAAGAATGGACCACAGGGCAGATTGCCATCAGCCCCAGGTCAGAGAAATTAGCCAGGTCTTAACAGCACCACAAGTCACATGTCCAAGCCTGACTTTCTCTGAAGCTCCATGCTGGATGTGTTCGCCCTGCTTTGCTATGCATACATTTGTTACCGGCTTGGCCTGCCCGATCCTGCAGCTCTATTTGTTCAGGGCTCTATCCCTCCACACCTGCCCAGACTTGCTGCCACAGAAGCTGATGAGAGTAGAAAGCAGCAAGATCTCCACTGGGGAGCTCGGGAGTTTTCATGTTTGGTTGCATAGGGCCCTGATATCATCAAAGCTGGTTTCCAGCTTTGGGATAGTTTATTGGATTTATTAGGAAAACTCTTTATCAAATTGTCCTTCCAGCAATAGCAATACTGCTAACAAATTTCTAACTGTCCCTGTACAAGGATAATGTCTAATACAATAACGGTGACTTCCCAAGTATGAATTCTCTTACTAGCAAATGATAAATGGAGCCATTTCCCGTCTGATTCATGTCACTGTAACCTTCATCCCACAGACCAGACACTTCATAAGGCAATTGGGCTACTTCATCGTCTCTTTCTTTGGGGTTAGGGATACTCTCCTCTCAGATATGTCAACAGACTCAAAATTCCATGACTTGGTTTGAAAAAAATGTGAGAATAGCCAAGGTTTGTGCCCACAGAAATTCCAGGGCAGATGGCCTAGCTCTGGTCTCCTCTGGACTACCCAGGCTTGGCCTTCCTGCTGGCAAGGTGTTCACTGTAAAAGAAAGCTAGAAAAAACACGAAGAAAACATTTTTTAAAAGAATCAGAACTCTGTGTTCTTTTTTCCTGCCTGGACTTGTTGTATTCCTTCCTTGTTATTCTTGGAAAATGCTGTTGTAATCATCTCTTCCAGAGTGAGCTCCTTCGCTCCATCTCGAGGGAAGGAATGCATTTCTCCAAAGCAGAAGTAAAACAAACGCCGTCAGCCCTTCTTCTCTGCCTCTTGCGCCTGTGTCTCCTGAAAATGATTTTGCTGTGAGCTGAACTCTACAAGTCTTGAGGGGCAAGATTTTGTTCACATAAAATTTTCCTCCCGATTTTCACTTAACGCACACCGGTGCTTTGTGGGAAATAGAAAAGATAGAAAGACAGAAAAGATGAGCATGAAGCCTGTGGGTTTGTGTTGTGACTGTGGCCTCTTCCTGTCTCTCTTTAAGCTTTGCCACCGGCTGTGTCGTGAATGGTGGAGACGTGCGGTGCACCTGCAAGCCTGGATACACGGGGACGAGATGCGAGAGGTGGGTGCTGCCTCCTGAAGGTGGGGTGAAGGGTGGGGCCTGAGGAGGGGCGTGGCTGTTGCTGAGAAGGGGCCTGGCTTTTCCTTTACTGAGGGCTGGGAAAAGGTCTCCTTGGGAAAAATACGAGACTGCTGCCTTAATAAATCATTAACAGCCTCTTTCTTCCTCTGCACGTTTCAGAAATCTGAGAACAAGGTTCAGCACACACATAACACACACCCCAGTGCACCCCAATGCCGTACTCATCCCCACATGCCCCCTCCCCAACCACCCCTGCGTACCCGGTCTCTGTCTTTACATCTCCTCCTACCCACAGATAGCCCCACATAACCCCCTCCCCACATCCCTGCACTCCTGCTGCCCCTCACCCTTGAATTCCTCTGACCCCACCTCTCTACATTATATTCTGAGGTATCCTTCCCCCGTGAATATCCCTCTGTACTCCAGCCCCCTGCAGAAACTCATTCCTGCAAATTCCTAACCCCACCCCCTCATGGCCTTATCTGTACACACATACTTTGTATACTCTTGCTTGTACACACATTTCTACAGCCACACACAT